GGGGGTTTGGGGGTAGGAAAAGAATAAATGAAACAAGATGGGATTGGGAGGGAGACAAACCATAAGTGACTCTTAATCTCACAAAACAAACTGAGGGTTGCTGGGGGGAGGGGGGCCAGGAGAGGGGGGTGGGATTATGGACATTGGGGAGGGTATGTGCTATGGTGAGTGCTGTGAAGTGTGTAAACCTGGCAATTCACAGACCTGTACCCTGGGGATAAAAATACATTATATGTTTATAAAAAAATAAAATTAATAAAAAAAATGGGTCATGGGAAAATAGTAGGAAATGTTCATTTGCCTGTATATGCTTGCGTTCCTGCCAATACCAAACAGCTCCAATTCTTGACCCTTTATTCCCTGCTCATAACTGTGCTGTATAAGTTACATATGATACTTTATTTGTTTCTCACAATGTGAGTTAAGGATTACTATCTTTATTTTATAAATGAGAAAAATGAGGCTAAGTCAGTGGTGCATGAGAATCTGAACCAGAGCTTATTTCTCTCATTCACTATGCTGTGCCACCAACTCACATCTGCTTTCTTTTCTTTTGAGTCCTACATGGCTCATCACTAGGAGATAAAAGCTCTAGTCCTCACCCCAGTGATATAGTGAACACACAGGCAGGTTCCTCTTTGCTGTGTAGCTCAGGAGCCCCAGGATCCCAACCAGTTCTCATTAGTAAGGAGTAACCAGGAGGCCTCACCTCAGTGAAATCCTGGGACCAGGTCCTAGGTGGGACCTGAGATTAAAACTATAAATGGGAAGAGCACAGGAGTCACTCATGAGACTGTGGTATGAGACCCAGGTCCATCACTCACTAGTCAAGTGACCATGGAAAAATCAATCTACCTCGTTGAACCTTTGTTATTTCATCTGTGAAATGAGGAAGCTGGATTTGATCAATGGCTTTCAGAACTATATTTTTTAAAAAGTGAAGCTCTTTTTTTTTTTTCCCTTGAGATCAAGAGTGGGACACTTAATTGACTGAGCCACCCAGGCACCCTTGAAAAGTGAAGCTCTTTAAGCAAATGAAGTCTTATGTTGAAACCCAATAATAAAATCGATACACAGGTAGAGCAAGGGCTGGATTTGGAGGAGGCATGAGTTCATCTACCTTCTGGGCCTCCTTCTAACCCTCATCCTATCTCCAGGGAGCCTCTGAGGTATGTGAGGCTTGCAGAACACGATTTTCAAACTGTGTACTCGCTCAGCTCTAACTGTATCCCAGTTCTCACAGTCTATGATGTAAAAACTATATGTAGCCACATGACAAGGGCATTAGAATTGTATTAGAAGAGAAACAGGGTCAAGGCTAATAATTCAAAGGAGAGGGGGCATTAAGTTGTAAAAGATAGAATCAAATGACTTGGCAGGGGGAGGCCAGGGGCATGCTTTTGATGTAGAGGACCCTGAAACTAGGTACTGGTTTTACAGGGTTGTAGCAATGTAGGGACTGGGCTTTCTAATCTTCATTTCTGAAATCTGTTATATTTCTGCAGTTAGTTTATTTAAATATGAATATTATTTTAGTCTGAGAGTATTATTCCAGTAATTGATTTTATTTTCTTAAAAGATTCTTGATAGTGAGCTATTAACTTTTAATTATGATACAACTATGCTTGTTATCATCAAAACTTTTCTCCTTGTTTAAAAATATGAAATTTAGACAAATGGGTTCGTGTTCTCTAACGAGTAAAAACTCAGATTGCCCTGTTGCAACTCTTGGCTTAAACACTTTCTTCATGTGTCTGTATTAACCTGTTAAACTCGGTGAGTGTCACCCTGGCCCTGAGCTGTCCCTGTGATTGCCACTGTTTCACCGGTTTAACCATGACATGTCTTTGGCCATAAATCCTTTTCACTTACCTGCCTCCGCCTTCTGCTGCTTCTCAATTTTCTCCAGGCGCCCTAGCAAGGAGTCAATTTTCGTTTTGATCTGGGTTAATTCTTTCTTGATTGTCTGTAACTCATCTGATTTCACTGGAAAGGGGAAAAGGGAAAGAAAGCAACAGAATGTCAAATGTACCATCAACTCACGTAGAACACGACTCACAGAAACCCCATGTTTTCTCAAGATAGTGTCAAATCACATAGGACACTTTTCAACCTTACCAGTTTCTCGTTATTTCCAGCGATCCTAGAATACCGGAAGACATTGGCAATTATAGTAGCTTTCAGTGACGTGAGCATTAGATACTAAATCTTTTCACTGAAAGTTATGCAAAGGGATGGAGTAATCTGGAAACATCTTATCAAATAACTAAGTGATATGAAACTCAGTTTTGGCAGGTAGCTAGCTAATCTGCACTGTAAAATGGATTCAGATTGAGGAATGATAAAATCATGACAAGTATGTTAATACCACATTGAGTTCTATGTTGTAATACATATTTCAGTAGTCAATGATATTTGTAATCTAGTCCCCTGGCGTTTCATTGAAACCAGGATATAAAGTTTATTGTCTGAAGAAATGTCTTAGGTGCAAGAGACTTCTAACAGAACTCTTGCTACTTTGTCTACTAAAAAAAAAAAAAAAAAAAGAGGTAATAAGTTGTACATGTCCCTTTTTAAGCCATGGGGCTGGAGGAAAGAAAATTCACCCAAGTTCCCACTGGTATGTTCTACAGTAGTGATTACCATTCCAGGTTTTTGATATTTAGCATGGTTTCAAAGAAAAACAAGTGGGAACCAACACAGGACTGACAACTTTTCATTTTGCCGAGAAAGGATGTTAAAAACAATAAACAGCCTACTATTAACAATAATAATTATTTTATAAAGAAGGAGCTTAAGAAGAGGACAATCTCCTATTTAAAGGGCAGTCCTTCAACAGAAACATATTTATGTTTATGGAAAATTCACAGCAGTGTTCCTATTTTCTCATTTTTCTGAGAACCACTGGGAAATTTGCTACAAATCCACAAAAACCAGAGAATGAAGATTTCAAAGCTATCACTATAGAACATCTGCATCTGCCTAGGGGTTTTCAGTAGGTGGGGTTTCGGGTATCCATGCCTCCACAGAGATGCGTCTACACTGGGGGGCATAGAGCTTGATGTCAGCCTATTGATTCTTCTCTGTCACCTTTGCTTCAAATTTAAGATGATCTCAGCTTGGATTCTCCCCAGAAATGCTGCAAGAAACTGAGCATTTAGCTTGGCTCTTTAGTCTTCAGGAAATTTCTTTGGAAAATAATAAAAACGAAATGCAATCTATGTTTGCTTGGAATAGAGCTATTTGTCAACTAAGATATGTGATATAATATAAATGATAATGTATGCATCAATGTACATTAATTGCTCAAAGGAAGCACAGACTTTTTTTTTCCAGTATAAAAAAGTGAGAAAACCTTTTTTATTATAAAATAAGAAATTCCTTTTACAAAAAGCAGATTTTTGTTTATGATGCAAAGTAGCTTGCAAAATAAAAACTACAAGAATCCAGGACCCCATGGAGTGTTCCTATTATGGAGAACCAAACTGAAAGTAGAACACAGTTTAAAATAGAGAATTGCTTCTTATGTCAATTATTTCAACGACATCAAAGTGCCATTGTGAAACTGCAGCTAAATTTGAAAAACATCATCTGTCACAATTGCAAATTGATTCCACTTTGAAGAATGATTTTTATTTCCTTTGATGGAAGCACATCATGTAGTTTTACTTAAACCTATCAAACTTAATAGAAAATATTTTATCTTATAACATTAGATTTCAGTGCAGGAGAAATGGGACTGTGGCTGGAAACTAACAGAATATATTTCTAGGGACGCCTGGGTGGCTCAGTTGGTTGGACGACTGCCTTCGGCTCAGGTCATGATCCCGGAGTCCCAGGATCGAGTCCCGCATCGGGCTCCCAGCTCCATGGGGAGTCTGCTTCTCCCTCTGACCTTCTCGCTCATGCTCTCTCTCACTGTCTCTCTCTCAAATAAATAAATAAAATCTTTAAAAAAAATAAAAAGAATATATTTCTAAGTAGAGCCACACCTCGCCCCAGGAATGCAGTTGACTTATTTTCATGTCGTTATTTCCTTAAAAAAAAAACAAAACCAAAACCCACCAACACCCCATTTTATAGAAACTATATTACAAACCACTAGAAATCTGGGCTCACCACCTAGGAACTTAACATGTATCCAAGAAGTCAAGCCTGGCTTTTAGATTCATGTTTAATACTCCAGGAACTCATTTTATGATCTGAGTCAGACCATTATAAAATTTTGGTTTAATTAGTTAATGGTATTTAAGCTTAGAGACAACAAGGATATGATGGGCATAAATTCTGTAAGCTCTTTCCTGCCTCTACCAGGAAAGTCTGAACCCGTCTCCAGCCCTATGCAAGTGGCCCAGCTTCAATCTTGGAATGGCTAGCAGCAAAGGTTCATCAAGGTCCGGCAAAGCACAGGTTAAAACCAGTTTTGGCTGCTTCTTGAGCAGCTGTGAAAGTTGTTTTCTTAGTACACTTCAGTGCTGTCCTTGGGAGAAGGCCTGCCGCTTACCTGGCCTACTTGCCTAGAGTCCTGTTTGTACCTATCTTCAGTAGGATTCACTTATCTATAGATATGGGGATGGCTTTGTGTTATTGTGTCTGGTTTCCAGATGGAATATCTGAGATAAACCACCTCTCTATCTGATGTGCTTCCCTCTCAAACTCTTCTCTGCCTCTTTTCTGCCCCCCCCTTTTTGGCTCCTGTTAATAATTTCTCTCCTGCACTGTGGATTACATTGATCCCCTACTCCAGCAAAATAGATGTGTATTTTACAAGCATAGATTTCTAAACTTAGAATTTAAAAAATTTTTGCAACTTTAAATTCTGATACTTCCCCCAAAAATATAAGTGAGTTCAGAATTAAGGAGAGCCTTAGATCCAAATTTTCCCAGTTCATTTTCCTTCCTTTTTACATTTTCTTCCCCCCAACCGTCCACTCTCTGCCCACTCTTAATTAGGCTCTGCCTTCAATTTGCTCAGTCTATGGCATAGTCCCTTCATTGTAATAAATTATAAACCTTTTCAATTGAATACTACCAGAATGTTCCCATTTCTATAGGAAAAAGGCCAGAAACCCACACAGAGGTGCACAAACCAAACTATGAACTGGTATCCAGGGTCTGCTCCTAAGTATATTTCCAGGTGTGCATTCCATTTCCTCAGAAAACATACTCTTCACTTGAACAGAAAAGGTTAGTGCTTAATTAAATAATGCATGGAACCGGGTAGACTCTAGTTCACATCAATGTTTCTTTGCGGAGTCACTTGTAATCACTAAGATTCAAGTTCAACATCTGCAATTTCCATCCTTTACCTTAGAGGCCTGTTATAAAAATTTAATAAAGCAGTTCACATAAAGCACTTAGGACCATGCCCAGAACATCATCAAACCCAATAAATGATAGTAGCGGAAGACATTCTTTCTATTACATATTATTATTATTGCTATTGTTTTTATTGATATTATTTTCCCAGCAAAGACTCTCTCTCTCCCTCAAATATGTCTATATCAAAATCCTATATGCCTTTTAGAGCTTCATTAAAAGTCTTGCCTCCTCTATGGATTCTTCTTTGACTAACCCTCTGGAGGGTGCAACTCTCCCCTGTATTTAATGGCATCTCATATTTACCACTAGACATATACTGTCTGTTGATTTTTACTTAGTATGTCCACTTTTCATATTAAATTATAAGCTTCATGAGAGTGAAGCCATGATTAGATATTGAGGAATTTCAAGAGTCGTGCTTTTGAATATTTTCTGTGTTTTAATAAGCTCCTTCTTCTGTTATTGACTGATGAGACTCCTGATGTTTACTATAATGTCCTGGACTTTAAAGTATGTCCTCCTTAATTAGAAAATTATATTAATAGGCTTAAGAAGAGATCTTGAATTAGATTAGTAAATGTAAAAATTTTCTGTCTTTCATCATAAACCAGATCCATAAAAATTATTGAGATTCCAGATTAATAAATTATTCTGATCTCTGACAATACAACATTTCAAAAAGAAGGAATTTTGGACAGTTGTTTGAGGCAAAACGTATTAATGAATTTATCCTATCATAGGCTCTCAACAACCAAACTCTCTTGAATGGAGAGAAGGCATCCAATTCCTTGTTTTCCTACCTTCCCACTTACCGTCCTTCCTTCCTGCCTTCCTTCTGTCCTTCTCTTCCTTCCTTGTTTCCTCCTTCCCACCCTCCCTTCCCCTTTCTTTCTCTTTCTCTTTTTTCTTTCTTCTCTCTTTCTCTCATTCTTTTTCTCCTTGCATGTTTAACAGAATTTAGCTCAGTCTCTTAAACACAGCAAGAAATTGGCAAATTTCAGAAGATCTGTAGGTGTATGTGTAAGTAGGTAGGCCACTGGATGCAATTTCAACCCAACCAACAAATCTTATTTAAAGCTTTGTGAATATACCAGACACTAAATTGGAATTGACTGTTTCATGGAGAGACAGATAAGCAGACAAGGAGTGCAATAAGAAAATTAGCTTGGGAATATACCTTTTTTAATCAGAAAGCCTATGATAAAAGAATAAGAGGATATATACCTTTGGCAGCCACACTTCTGTATTTTTCCCTAATTCCACTTCATTGCTTCAAAAATCTAATATCTATCTTTGAAGATACATTGCATAGAATATAGTGCCTTTATTTTTATATAGAGTATTAGATGGTGAGAGTCAGGAGTATTTTTTACTAAGAATAATACGGAATGATTTTAATCAACTTGCTGTTACTTAATTGTTTATGTATAAGTAACTTAATGTATACAAGCTAAGGGCTTGGGAAAATTAGAACCAATTACTAAAGATTACGAGTTCTACAATTTGAAATTTATTAATTTGAGAATTTGAGAAAATTGCTTTGCTTTCCAGTCAGCTCCAAAATACCTTCCCTTGACTTACCTGCTTGCCTATCTAAATTATCTTAGGCTCTAGTCACAACTGTTCATTGTCCCTTTAATGGGTTTTGTGTTTTCAGACATCTA